TTTAATTATTCTCCTCTAAATTTGAGCCTTTTATCGAAGCTGACAATACTTAGTTTTACACCGTGCATGCTTATCAGGATATCGTTCTGTGAGTAGAAACATGTTCATCACTGTCTTCTGTTGTCATGCAAACTCCCAAATTACAGTTTTTTTGCAGCCTTGCATGCATCTAGATACAAACCTAAACCTGTGCAGGTATTTGACCAAACTCCAACACTTGTGCATCTTTGTTAAATATGTTCACAGAATATCTTCAAGCAGATTTCTTTTTTTTTTTTTTTTGCATGTTTTTAGCTGCTAATGCAAACTGACACAAATATTGATTTGCTGTCAACAATCACTTACAGAAATCCAGTCACCAGTGACTTTTTAGTGTTATAACCAAAAACAGACACCCTACATACAGGAAAAGTCCAGAAGCACCTGAAGCCACCCAAGAAGAGAGAGCTGTTCTGTGTTCAATCAATCTCCATGAGACTTTAATCCTAATCTCAAGAAGGGGGATGCATTCCTCTCCTTTTTGGCCTGGGAGCTTGAGGAGAGGGCATCATTCCTTTGCAGCACAACACAAAAAACAACCTGCTTTGGTTGAGAGGCTTTTCCTGAAAGGCTTGTTTTAAATAAATTAGGATATTATTCATTTGGAATGCCTATTATCTGTCATAGCTTTATTGACAAATGGTGGATTTTCTTCAGAGGGGAGAGTGAAGAAAGAATGTGGTGAAACAATTCCCATCATGGATGCTTCAAGACAATATTTCTTGCATTATTTTCATCTAAAATTATTTCCTTACATATTTTATGCCCCATATTTAAAAAAATGAATAAAAAGATTACCTGTCACTTGAGATGGGACTTCATTCTGTGGGTACCTTGGTGGCTTATTTACTCACCAGCATCAGTATGGAGCTAGATTGGTCTCAATTTTCACAAATACAAATTGAGACCAAATACAGGACAAGATCCACACACGCACAGGACAAGATCCACACACACACACACACAGGACAAGATCCACACACACACGCACAGGACAAGATCCACATACGCACAGAAGAAGATCCACCCATACACAGGACAAGATCCACACACGCACAGGACAAGATCCACACATGCACAGGACAAGATCCACACACATACAGGAGAAGATCCACCCATGCACAGGACAAGATCCACACACACATAGGACAAGATCAACACACGCACAGGACAGTTCACGCCAGCACACAATATCCACACATGCACAGCACAAGATTCACCAAAGTACATAAACATAAACAATTATAAATTAAAATACAAAGTACCAGTGGTCTTTAAACTTCACTGCATTTGTGTGTGGATTTTTGAGACTCCCCCGACATGCGTTGACATACAAATGCATTTGCACTTAAAGCAATCACTAGAGGAATTATCCTACACAGTAGTTTTTACTTCTCACTTGAACTATCTCTAGGTTTTCATGTTTTGTGTTGTTTTTACAGTTTTTTGTGTTTATTTGGGTTCTATAAACAGGAAAAATGTATAATCTTTACTAAGTTAAAACGTGTTTGGATCATTGGTCTAAGCCCAATATCCAAACCATAAATGACACTGGATTTGAGTTCTGTTCTCAGCCACTTTTTTAAACTATAACCTACTGAAACCTTGATATACCATAATACACCTCTTTGAATATTCTGAAAAAAAGATTTAAAACAATCCACTGGACTTTGTTTCCAAGTTTGAAGATGTTTCGCTTCTCATCCAGGAAGATTTTTCAATTCAAAATGTCAGGAATGGCGTTGAGTTTGAGGTTTTATACTGCAGCCCATCAAAACCTTGTTTTTGTTTTGAAAACATGCAAACTGATACAGACGAAGGGGTCCACCCCTTTGGAATGGGGGTTGTTTGGCTTCCTTTGTTAGCCTCCAATACCCCGTCTAAGTGTCTGAAAGGGGAATCGTTAAATGGGATTGTTGGCCTGGCTAAACCTGAAGGTCCTCCGCCCTGCTGCACAGGGGCTGGGGTGGCAATGATAGCGGGAAGGGATCAACTCAATTGTTGCATTGTAGGTTTTTAAAAGCTGAAATCGGAGTTTTCTTTGTCCAAAATGTGAACATTCTGGTTCTCAAAAGAATGTCCTTTGTCCATAAGGTGTAGATGTACCTCCGAGTCTTGTCCTGAGGAGGTCGCTCTTCTGTGTTGGGCCATGCGTTTGTGGAGAGGTTGTTTGGTTTCGCTAATATAAATATCAGAGCATTCCTCACTAAATTTAACTACATACACCACTCTGCTCATATTTGGTCTGGGGGTTTTATCCTTAGGAAGCACTACTATAGTCCGGTCTTGAATAGTTGAATATTGTGCATTTTGTCAAGCTTAATATTAGCCTGCTGCTTTATGTATTTGTATTTTAAGCATCTGACTATCACTTCAAGGTCATTTGAAGGAAGTCAAGTTTATCACTTCATCCAATTTATGAAACGCTGCAACATTACTAGTAGTCACAACCATGTAACTTTACCTGTAAGGACAGTAGAAAATGTTTTAAAGATTAGAAAATCTTAAATTATATGAATTAATGATTAGGAATTAATTTGAAAATGGATTCGGGATTGAAAAAAACCCCTCAATTTTAACCCAGCCCTGCTGTGGGCAGTGAAGCTGTTATTCCTACAATTTCCTTGCAATATTAGGTTTGAGCATTGGTTATTTTATTTTCTTCTTAAATATCCAAACAGATACTTATTTTACAGGATGGAATTGTTGGTGCACAGGCAAGGTGGAGACTTCAGCATGATAATAATAGCAAGCCTATGTTAAAACAGTTGTAGAATTAATACAATGATCTAAAATTAAATTAAAAGTCCGATCACATTCAGAATATCGTTATCTCCCTTTTATCTCCTCTTTATTTCATCTTTTCTCCTTTTTTTCTGTTCCTTTTCCTTTCCTGTTCTGCTTACATTGTAGGTGTCCGTAAAATCTGTAATACTCCCTGCATGAAATATAATAAAGCTATTTATGTGCATAAATCAAGCGGAACTCTATGGCGATAGCCCTACTCCTCCACTTGTGAAAGTAAAATCTGTTGGACCCTCTTTTTGGCATCAAGACAATTATTCTTATTGCCACATCGTCAGACAGGACACTGTAAAAAAAAAAGAAAAAAAAGAAAAAGAATTCAAACTTCTGAAAGTACTTTAAATATAAAATTATTACATACCGTTCAATAAATGATAAGTGTTTTTAATTAAGAGTCATTTTCATTTGAATGTGCTTTACTGGAGACATCCATGTTCATCAAAGAGTACTACTGTCACCTACCGGTTTGTGACGTCACGGTGCGGTATCAGCTTTTGATGAAGTCCCAGTGCTGTATCTGGTGTTTGTCACAACGCGCTATTATACAGGTCATCTTGAAAACATTCTTCTTCGAAATGTTGGCCACATATTTCGTGTTTTTTCCCTGGCCAGGAGTTCGATGGCAAATCCTCCCTCTTCAAGTTGGCAATCCAACAACGAACCCGTCTATTCAGGATCATGAATCGGAAAGGTGAAATAACAAATATAAATGATGTAATGCAAAATCCAACTGCCATGCATGTGGGCATTGTCAGCTTAACTATAGGTCTCGCAAATTTCAATGGCGAAGTCTGTTGAAGTATAAAATAATGTTGTTAATGTTAATGTTGTTGATTGCAGATATGTCTAGTAGTTCTCCTTGATTTTGCTTGTAAAGCGGGGAGAATGGCCCTAGGCTTACTGCACCGTGACATCACTGCCGGAAGATGTCAGGAGTGAGGTGTTACTATATTTTGGCAAAAATGGCCGCTCCCAGACTCAGTGATCGTTACAAAAATTTCTATTTTATTTTTTTTAACTTATTAACATTAAATTCCTTAAATCACCGTGAACGTATTAGTTTTAGGTGTAGATAATGATCCATTGATTGTTCCTAGCTTTCACAAGGCCTGAAATTCAATTCTATTGAATAGAATAATAAATTATGTGTTTGTCACCATATGTATAATTATGACCCCAAGTGGTTTCTTGAGATTAATCAGGTTCCATTTGTGGAAAGTTTTTTTCTTTCTCCTTCATTTCAATGTTTGTGTTTTTCTGGTCTGATTTTCTAAAAGTGTCATGGAAAAGTGTTCATGTTTGTTCATGGATTCATGGATTAAGCATGTTTCTTCATGCAATCTCTAACAGACGCCAAGCTCTTAACATCAGTGTGAGGGATCAGACCATCTGCTGCAGGACTCACTCTTCTTTGTGCTGCTAACAAATATGTGCCTGGCAGCAAATTTGAACGCAATATCATGATAAATGTATAGTGTTTGGATAAGTTGAAGTTTATTGCTGATTTTGACCCGCTCCTCCTTACCTTGTTTAACTGTTATACACTAATAAAATATCTACTTTTTGATTGGTTCTGTTTGTTTCTAATTACTTTACTCCTGATGTTTTTATATTTATATAAGATATTTTTTTCTAGATTTAAATGGTTCACATCAGAAAAAACATTAATCTTTTAAAGACCAGGTAACTATGCTTGTCATGATTTTATCTAAAGCTCGGACCCACATGCAGTGAAGCCAAACACAAAAACTGGGATCCTGACAATGCTGATATATAGATTTTGCTATTTTTTTTCTTTTGTACTTTACTCTTACATGTCTTCCATCTTTTTCTGATTGATTCAAAAGACAGATTTTGCCTCGAAACCTAGCCAAATAAAAGAAAATGGGACAGGCTAATTACCTTTATGCAGAGGAAGTGGAGGCTGTTGCACAAGTTTTTTAAATCAAGTTGAAGAAAATCTGCACAAGCAAATAACTGTAATGCATTTTCTTATTTTGTCTCTCTGAGAAAAAAATTTAGAGAAAGGATACCTGCCCTTATATGTCTACATGCTGGATATAAGAACTCATCTGTCCAACAATGCTTGTGTAAAATGACAACTTTGCAGATCGCCATGAAATTTGTCTAACTTGCCGTAACTAATGTCCCCCCAGGTTGGTATAGACTTTACAGCTTCTAACGGGAACCCCAGAGAGCCATCCTCTCTCCACTACATCAACCCACTGGGCAGCAACGAGTATCTCTCTGCCATTTTAGCTGTTGGCCAAATCATTCAGGACTACGACACGTGAGTGTTGACCTCAGATTTTCTTTCCGGTTACAGGTGTTGTCAAGAGTTTTCATGAATTGATGTTAAACACGATTGTCTTTAATTATCCTTACAGTACTGTGTAAAAAAGTAATTTCATTCATTTAAGAAAAAAGGTATGTAAACCAACATAGACCCATGTGAAAAGTAAATACCTGCTTCATGTAATAACTAGGCCCGAGCAGTGAAGCGCTGCAAAGGCCTATTGTAATTGGTATTGTTTTTGTAGCAGCAATAACTACTACAACATTTTGAGATAACGGTGGTAGTCTTCAACATCACCACGAAGAAATTTTGCCTCACTCTTCCTGACAAAAATGTTTAGGTTTAGTCATGTTGAAGGGTTTTCTGTTACGAATGGCAGATTAACAATCGCACTACAGATTGTGAATTTGATTCAATTCAAGACTGTGTCTCTGTTCTTATTGCAAAGTGGCTCTGCTGTGCATCATTCTCCTGTTGCAAAACCCAAAATGGGATGTATTCTGTTCAAACCGCAGAATCCTTTCCCTAATTTTTTGTTGACAATCAAGATATATTTTTGTAAAAGTGAGACAGAGCTTTATAATCCTGAACTCTGACCTTAGCCGTGGTATGTGAGGTCTGGGTGGTTTTACATTAAGAGCCCCTGGTTAAGCTTTCCATGTGTTGTAGAATTATTTTGTAGCCTCTTTTTCACTGAAAGGCACTGCCTTTAAAATCCCAGGTTTTGTATTACCTGGCTAATGTTCCACTTCCATTATCTGAAAGGCCCTTGGATAATCATGCAAATTGACTTGTGATTTGGTTGCCAAAAAATGTGAACAACCCCACATAATGGAGTGCCATCATAAACAACGTAACACACTGTAGGTGCGCACACATGGGTTTCAGTACGAACGTACTGCATCCCCCTGCTGAAGACATAGTAAGAACATGTAAGAACAGGCCACTTATTCTGACTACAGTCCATGTCCGAGAGCCTTTCCTTGTTAACAGCCTCCAGCACCAATGGCACAAAGTCATTTGTGGCTCTGGTGGCCATGTATGTGAGCCTGTGTCCCTGGGTCGCATCGAGCTGGACATACCAGTGGCTTGTCTGGTGTTCTGATTGTTGGTGTCATTCAGCCTGTTTTTTCCCCGCTTTGTTTTCTTTAGCTTGTCCCACATCTGCTTTGTGGTGGGGAAAACATTTATTTCAGCCATACGGACTGCAATCATGGCCATCATTGTGCATCGCCAACTAAAACTTCCTCTAAAAGCACCACTAAAAGCGTCTCAAACTCATCATCCATCCAACGATTGTAGCTTCTTCTCTCATGCCCCATCATGCATTTAAGAAATTATTTGGGTAATTCTGTATCAGAAAGCAAAGTATGATTTGCAAAGCCTGCAGCTTTTTTAAAAGCTTTGAGCGGCAGTGGAATAGGGGCTTTTGCTAGGAAGGTTAAACTGCTACATGTTTCCTCCAGTTGTTGGTTAATCCACATTGTTTTGCTGCCATCCCAGTCTTAGCAATTAAAATACATTGCAAAGCAAGGCTTTCTAGGAAAAAAATGTAGTAGATGATGATTATGGTGATTAATTTTAGGCCCTGTTTATTTGGATCAATTTCCTTCAGTAAATAAATAAAAAATCCTTTGAGAATTGTTTTTATCTAGTTGGATTATAGTCATCCAATATAAATGGGTTTGTTCATTTAAAACATTTTGCTTGACAAAAAGGAAAAACCAGTGAAATTGGTAATGTAGATTTAATGGTACTTTCGTTCATTTATGAAATCGAGTGATTATAAAGAGTGTCATTTGAAATGAGTTTTAAAAACAAGAATTTCCATTAGAAGTTATGATTTTCTCTCAATCAAACTGGGTCAAAATAATAAATCCAAAAAAGCTCCCAGATCCTTTAATATGTGGTGAGTTCCTTGCAGTTTTAGTGCCTTATGATTGACATCTAAATGGATATTTTAAAACACTTCTTTTAAAGGATATCTGAAACACATTTAAGTTGAGTCTACACATTTCTAAGATGATTGAGGTCTAAGATTTGAGAACAGTTAATGCTAGGCTGCTTTAACCACTTTAAAACAAATTTGATGACATTGAGAATATTTATCTGAGAACATCCCATTATGCTGTAGGTGTTCTGGTGAAACAAGTTTTATAATAGAATAGAAATCCTTTAATCATGTAAGACAATAAAACAAGCAGAGAGAAAAAAACTTACAGATACATCAGAAAATAATATAAAACAAATCAAAGTTTATCTGTATAACAGAAGGTAGAAACATAGATTCAGAATAAAAAAGGCAAAATAAGGTAAAGTTAAGAAATTTTTAAAAGAACCAAAGCTAAAACAGCCCTAGCTGACAAGGCTTTAACCCAGGGCGAATCCTCGCTCACTGGGTCATTGGCAGGTTGTCCTGTTATCTTGACAAAACTACTTTATACTATTCTCAACACTGCTTATTCTTTTTTAATCAGAGCTTTGTGGTGCCCTATCAAAGATTTTCACCTTATTGTCCTAAAGCCACTTTGGCACTGACTTGGTGATATACTGAGGTTTATTGTCCATTTGGACGACTGAGCTATACCTTTCTTGTTAACGTCCTTAATAGTTGCAATGCACCTCCACCGTACACAATCGGCAAGGTACCTCTATGTTTTTTACGATTGTAGGCCTCAAATTTGCTTTAGTCAATATATTCTCTATAGTCCTTTGCTTTTTTTGTAGGCTAAAACGCAGCGTCTCACCATAACATGAAACACATCTTTTCACTGAACAGTATGAGCACTTGAACCTGCCATGCTGTTTGTTTTTACGTCAGCTTATTTGAACATAGCTTGTTCAGGTAGTTGGAAAATTAACCTAAGCATGAACTTGTGGAGGTCCACAGTTCTTTTCCTAATGTCTTGAGGGATTTAATTTCATTTTCATTTTACTTTGATATCAAATAGTTAAAGATGTATAGCAAAGATTCTGTCTTAAAATATATTCACAATGGTACTTTAGACCAACTTAGATGTTGTAAATCTTCTCTGTAATCTACTGTAAATTTACTCAGTAGCTGATGACGACAAGCTTCTATATCTGGGCTTTTTTTTAAATGGCTTTAAAGGCACAACAATATAAATATAAATAAATTCTGAACTTGAAGCAATAATATTTATCATAGTTTTACATGTATTTTGGCAAAATAGTATATAAATAATTTGCTATACAAAATATGATAAATGGAGTTGCTGCCTTTGTCATTATCCAGTGTTTATTTCATGAACAAAAAAGAGTAAAAAGAAAAAAAAAATAAACTAATGTTCTGATCTGTTGTCATGGTTTCCTCCTCAGTGACAAAATGTTTCCTGCGCTTGGATTTGGAGCTCAACTCCCACCAGACTGGAAGGTACACACGTGTGGATTGTGATGGATTTTTTACGTATGTGTGTTAAAGACAAACATGCACGAGCAACGAGGGCGGTATAGCAGCAATGCATTTACAGCTGAAACAACCTGGTTCCAGACATGCACCTCACACACACAGATAAAACTGTACACATTCTACATGCATATTCAGACTATTACACAACTGTCAACCGATCTGTGTTGCCATGGCGCTGAGATGAAAAGGACAAAGAAGCCATAGACAGAGACAGGATGGGAGGGAGCTGAAAGTGTGGGTTTCTTAGCAATAATCTCCAGTTTGATGAAAATGTACATCAGTTGATGTTCATCTTGTTTCTGCAGGTTTCCCATGAATTTGCCATCAACTTCAATCCCACTAATCCCTTCTGTTTTGGTGAGTTTTTTCCTTTTATGTGACCCTGAGGCATCTTTAGATAATACATTTCTACCTGCTCTATATCAGAATGTGGAGAAAAAACTTATAATAAGTAAATCTTTTTACCATTACATTTAAATCACATTTACAAAACATTTCAACCTTCCAGCAATACTCTGAAAGCATTTGTTTGTAATCTATCTTTGTTCATTTTCCTAGCAAATAAATGTGGATTCCGACTAAACAAGAATACTAACAGTCTAGTATTGAACTTTCCTACATCAGTGAAATCATTTCAAAAGAAAACAGGAAAAACACTGTGATTAAATAAATAATGAATATAATGTAAGCAGGGAAAAGGAACCCCAAGAATCACTGAAACAAAACTGACATTTTGACATCACTAAGTCTTCATAACGCGTCAACTCAACTTTAGTCACATCTAGAGATGCACTGATCGGATTCCTGGATTGGATTTTTGCTCTGACATTGACTAATTAGCGGATAAGATATCGGTGATTTGATATCGTAAATCCAATTCAGTACACTTTACATTAAGTGTTATTTGTTTCTTTTTGCTGCTTATTTGTTAATAGATAATATAATGTAAATATATATCTATGTTAAATTGTCTATCTTTTTAACAACCTTTTTCACTTATATGACAAAATACATGGTTCATTCGTTCAACAGATGAATCGGATTGCTATCAGATGTCGGCTGATTTACTCATCCCAGGTATCGGTAATGAAATGGATAAAAAAATAAACATAATCGGTGCATCTCTAGTCACATCCCTGCTAGATTTAGCCTATCTGAATGGTTCTTCATTGGACTGAAATCTGGTGTCTGTAAAGATCACCGGACTACAATAAACTGTTTGGTTGATACTAGATTAAGATAAGTAATGTAATATAATACTAAAAAAATCAGAAGATGGATGTACTGCAGTTATAAAAGGATAGGGAAGGTCAGTTGGTTGACTGAATGTGTAAACGATGCTGATTTGACTATAATGGCCTAGCCCAGGGGTCGGCAACCCGTGGCTCCGGAGCCGCATGCAGCTCTTTAGCGTTCCCCTTGTGGCTCCCTGGAGCTTTTTCAAAAATTAATGAAAATCGTTTTTTTGTTTTTGTTTTTTTGTTTTAATGTGGTGTGCAGGAGGTCAAACAAAAAATAATTATGTTTTCCAATGCTGTAAACATTTGTATAATAAATAAATTTAAACAATAATTTGCGTCATAGCCATAGAGATCAGTGGTCATAACTTGGAATCAGCACTGCGCAGTGACAGGCAAACAAAGCTGCTGGAGTGTCTCGGACCATGGATCCCAAAGGGGAAAAAAGGAAGATAGCTGATGAGAAAAGAGGATTCAAAGAATGGACCGAATCATTTTCTTTCATTATCAATGTGGAAGGATTGCCTGCATTTTTGCTTGGTAATGAGAGGTTGGCAAAAAATAAAAATAAAAATTTAGAAAGGCATTTCCAGGGAAGGCTAAATATGCAGCCGATCAACAAGCTGGGAGGAAGAGAAAAGGTGTGATTGCAGAACTTCTGGATAAATTGCTCTGTTGCTCCCAACAGAAACACTACCACCATAGAAATATTTCTTTATTGTGTTTCTATCATTTCATCAATGCAACAAAACTTAAACTGTGCGGTGAACGGCGGTTAAGCGGCGCGCGATGACACAGCGTGCGATGGTTGCGTTCACTGCTCGTCCCTCACCTCATGCTGCTATGTGACATTTGCTTGAGGATAAACATTTAACCATGAATGCTTATTATATATTTAAGCCAACAAAGTCCTTTTCTATAGTTGGATAATACGCTTAGAGCCCGTGTTGCCATAAGAGGCTTATATAATACTTTTACATTTTTGCGGCTCCGGACAGATTTATTTATTGTTTTTTTGGTCCAATAGGGCTCTTTGAGCAGTTTGGGTTGCCAACCCCTGGCCTAGCCTGTGCAGAAACAATACACCATCAGCAGCTTGGACTACTGACATAAAGCAGCATTTGTGTTTTTATCTGGTTTGAACTATATTCTAATCATCTGAATGTTGCCGCAGAGATTAAGACTCTTGGCGACATCTTCTCAATCTGTTATTGTCTAGTTTTAATCAGTTTTTATAAATCCAAACCTCAGTTTCCTGTTTTTAACTGACAGAGGCTTCCTGTTGTTTTAGTCTTTCTGTTTCAGTGTTATTTTGCATAAACTTTTTGTAACAATCATTTGAATCATTTTTTTGTTCTAATGTGTCAGAACTTTCACATCTATTAGTCATTTTCATCCTATCCAATTCAGTAGCAGTTTATCAGATAATTTTTCTCTATCGGACTCTTTTCTATAAAACTGAGTGTTTTTTCTTTTAAATCCCCAAAAATCTTTTTTTATTTCCTCATGTTACCCCTCAGCAATTCCTAACACCATGTCTATTGCTAAGTGCAGCCAGCTACTGCCATGTGATGAGTAGGATCCAGATATAAAAAGTCATGTTCATGATATCTTAAAAAATGTTGTCATAATTGTTAGTTATTACAAACTACATTTTTTTGTATTGATGCTGCGCTTCTATTTATGGTTTTGTTTGATAGTTTTTAAAATGTGACATTTAAATGTGTTACACTAAAGATAGTAATTTGCTGATGTATTCCTTTTAGCCTTCAAAAATGTTATTAAAATATACGTATTTAATGAGAGTTCAGCATAAGAAAATGTTGGGCTGATAATAGACATATGTGCTGATTTGAAGCCAGCCATGTTTAAAGGTCAGGACCTTCACTTTGGTGTTCTTCAGAACAGAAATACAGTTTGTTAGATCCCCCTCCTCCAAAGCTGCCCTTTTATAAAGATGTCAGTAAAATTCTTAAATAAAGGATGCAGTCTTTTACTTAAGATTTGAAAAAGTAAAATGTATATAGCATACATTTTATTTGATGCATTTTATGTTCATTTTTAAATCTCAGTGTATTTCAAAAAGAAAATGTCATCAAAGATATTATGTTACATTCAAATAAACACGTGTGTTCCTGTTGACAGTAAATACTCCCTTTCATTTTGCACCACTGCATAAGAGCAACTTCATTTTAACATAAAGAAACCTCCAGCAGTAACAGGCTCACTGCAACTGGCCTTTTGCTGAGGCCGACCGAGTGTTAAACGAGACAGAAGAAGATATGCAACAGAAATATAGAAGCACTGATCCATAAATACTTTCCTTGTTAGAAAAGGTAATGGTAAGGTAGCTCCATTAGTGGCTCTGTATAGGAAAGAAACACTTAAGCAAAAGAGCTCTGAGCCAGTTTTCAATAATAATAAACTTATAATAATTGAACCTTAATGATGTCACATTGGAGAAATTTACCTCTGCATTTAAGTCATCCCCTAGGGAAGCAGTGGGCTGCCATCATGGGGATCCCATGGAGCAGTGTGGAGTTAAGCGTCTTACTCAACGACCTAGAGTGGCAGTCTGTGGGAGTAGGGCTCGAACTCAGAAACTCAGGATTCCAAGACCTATGCCTTAACCACTAGGCCGCCACTCTCCAAAAAAATTCATGCCAAGGTGGTGAAAGAGAGCAAATACCCAAGTCACAGTAAAAGTGGAGCCCATAGCTATGTCTAGGTCAAAAATGGGACTAAACACAAAAAAATAGGCCTAACTCTATCATCTATAATGGAAGTAGTTGATGGCAGCAGCCCAGCTGATATTCTTCTCAGGATGGTGCCACAGCTAAAGAGCAACAGACCAGATGAAGCTACTGTGATGAGAAAAAGCAGTGAAAACATAAACTATAGGTGTAAATAACAAATAAAGCAGAATGATAAAAAGTGGTCCCTGTGTCTTCCAGCAGTCTAAGCCTATAGCAGCATAAGCATAGAGATAGCTCAGAATAACCTCAGCCACTCTAACTCTAAGCTTGATCAAAAAGGAAGATTTTCAGCCTAGTATTAAAAGTAGACAGGGCGTCTGCCTCACGGACTAAATCTGGTAGCTTTTTCCTGAGCAAAACCCTCAACCCCACACTGCTCCCCGGGGGGCTACACATTGGTAGCCCACTGCTCCCCAAAGGGATGTGTCAAAATGCAGATAATGAATTTCCCCATTGTGGGACAATAAGGGATGTATGTATAGTTATAATGTAATATAAAGCCATTTACATTACATTATAACTAAATGTTCTAACCCCCATTCTTCTCTCTAGGAACCACTAGTAAACCTGCACTTTGGGAGCAAAGTGCTCTGTTAGGAACATAAGGAATGATCAGATCTCTGATATAGAACAACTGGTTACCATAGTTATTTAGGTCTTTGTACGTGAGAAGGAGGATTTTATCTATTTTTGATTTTACAGGACGACAGTGAAGGGAAGAAAAAATAGGAGAGTTATGATCTCTTTTTAATTATGATCAGAACTCTGGCTGCAGCATTTTGGATCAGATGAAGGCTCTTTTTCAAAAATGGCAATGACTGTTTAAATTTAGCTCAGAATAGCAGTTATATTTCCAGAGGAGTTTTTATTTAATTTTCTCATGAATAATCTTTGTTTTCAAAAACACAAAGTGACTACCAACCCTATTATAAGCCTCTTTATTTGTTGTGGGTATTTTCCACATTTCTAAGTCTCTTGTTTGCCCTTTGTCTCTCTACTTTTTCAGGTGTGGAGGGCATTGCCCAGGCTTACTCTGCCTGTCTCCCTCTTATTCGCTTTTATGGGCCTACAAACTTTGCTCCAATCATCAACCATGTCGCTCGCTTTGCCGCTCAGGCGCTTCAGCAGGAGAAAGCAGCGGTAGGTACCTATTGTTTTGTATTAGCAAATGTACAAATACTCAGGACGGATTTTAGGATTAATTCTGTGTATCTGCTGTAGAAGAAAGACTCTGCTTCCTGCAGAGAGGTGTATTTCCCGACTGCTTGTGAAACTAGAAACATGAATATCTCTAAACATGGCCAAACACCTTTCCAGTCTGACAGTTTTCTTCTCTGTCAACACACTTGTGTATTAACCAGCTACCTTCTGACTGATTAAAAAAAGAATTGCATTCTTTGTTTTCAAAATTAGATTAATGTTTTATGTTCTATGTATGGAGAACGGTTTGGCTGAATGGTGCATTTCTGCAAATTTTTCATCAGCAACATGAATTTTCAATTTTGACTTTGACCAAATAATTACATCACTACCTTGCTATTTTTTTTACACTTACTTATGATGAAATAACCTCAGGGCTACATCCTATACTTAAACTAAAAAAATGTATTAAGGAATAAGCAGTAAGCCTTTAAATACACTTCCCGTTTGACATCAGTACATATTTAATGCATGCATTGACTTCAGTCATTGATCATTTCTTTTAAGGGGCAAAAGTTCTTGGAATGCAGTGCTAAAATTATTGAGCTGACAAGAAGACCATGTTTCCTCTCTGGAAACACATCAAGCGTGTCTAAGCATGTTTTTTTTCATATGATCAAGGAAAAAAGTATATGATTTTCTGATATTTTTTATTAGCTGGTGTGACTGCTTACTGGGTGAATTTAGATGTCTTGATAAAGGTCAGGTTGATATCTGACATCCACCGTCAATTTCCGTAATTCCATTTATTTTAAAAAAATCAACTTCTGTGACTTCATTTTAATAGAAAATCCCTGTAGCTACTTCTAAAGTGTTTTCTAATAGGTTTTTGCTTTACAAACATTATTATTATTGATTATGTATTTAGTCTGTCACTAATCTCTGCAGTAAGTTTAAAAAGTATTTTGTTTGTCTGTGTTCCTTTATCTCATTCTTCATGGTTGAATTTTCGCTGCACTTATAACTCATTTTAAACAGACTTTTCTTCTCCAATCCACTGAATACAGAATTATGAGAGCCATAAATGCATTTTGTATAAACCTCTCTTTTGTAACTTTCTTGCTTTGTTTCTTTTGTTTTTTATTTAATCTGATAACCAGACAGGTTTTGCCTAAGGCCGAATCACATTAAAGAAAAGCAAACATGACACTGTTTTGTTTACTAGCCAGGAACAGTAAAGCTGTCAGTAGTGCACTTTTGTTAGTGGAGTACCAATTTAGCCACTCTCATTGCTTTGGGGACAAACAAGTCTGTGCATCTGTTATCTCCGGCTCTGGGCGTATGAATTGAAGTGGCTGTCCTATCCTGTTCTTTGTTATATTGCTGTGCAGCTGAGACACTGACTAGGCTTTTTATATATATTTTTAGCCAAACAGCAGGATTAGGAAGCATCATTTTTTGTCCAAGATTCATGGGATGATTAAATCTGTCAGTCGAAGTGTGCCCAAGGCTTCACTCCCATATGAAACACAAAAGACCAACATGTAACCTAACTGTGTGATACATCTGCTCAGGTTCAGCTCAGGATGGATTGTTACACATAGTTATATGCTCTGATACATGATCTCTAGCATATCTGCATTCATGAAAGACTGCAGAAATAGCTGCCTGTGGGGTCAAGCATCTTGCCTCAAAGCAGGTAGAACAAGGGTGTCTCATCTTAGGTCTGCCAGGGCTGGTGTCATTCATGTTGTAAATGTCTCCATGGTCCAACAAAGCTAATTATAATGTGTTAACTTTTTGCCTGTAATCGTATTGATAACCACAAGGAATATAACAAATAATAGTAATCACTCAACATGTTCATATCATTGCACGCCTGCTGTATGTAGGGGAGTTCTTGTATGGGGTGCCTCATATTTACCTGTGTAAAAGAAGATCATTTGCTGCTGCAGCATCTGTAGGTAAATCATGGGTTTTTGACAACCTGACTCATCAGGAATAGGGTTAAAGCTATTCACAGCTCCCTCCCTCTCCCACTAGGTGGTGTAGCTACTGTTCCTTCAGCTATTAACTTGCAAACTGTATCCTCTGGTATTTTCTGGAAATTTCCTTCCTTCTGTTTTTGTGCATAGCAACCAGGGTGTGTCTCAGCCACACCTGATGTAAACTAATTATTTCTAAAAATGTCACACAGAAGCCAAGCAACAAATAGAGAGGAAATTAAAAATAAAGTCCTGGGTGTCAGGCCCTGGTGGAATAGGTAAACCTACATGGAGAATTATAATATTATGATGGATGGATGGATGGAT